AATGATACGGCCAAAGCGCTGTTCCCAGGCAAAGTACTTGATGATGCGAATGTTTTGCAAGACCTCATTGGTGACATTCGTACGCTTGTCGGTGGCTGCAAGAATTCTCTTCGAAGTGATGGTGAAACCCCGAGCAAGACCGTAGTTGACAGGCAGGAGAAGGACCATGACGATGATACCAGGAATGGCACTAAGACCCATGACCTGCCAGAGCAGTACAACGGCAATGACCAGCTGCGTAGGAGCGGAAGCACACAGAAAGTGTAGGTACGCAGTGACTTCGGAAATCTTGAAACTGTCGATAGACATGAGGTTGATGATGGTACCCAGATTGGCCTGCTCGTCACCAGAATCGTCTTTCTTGTCGTCCTTGATACTCTCGTTGGCAGATTCGGCATCGTTGGGAGAAGCTTTCTTATCGTCCTTCTTCATGCTCAAGGCCCGCTTAATCTTTCCAACAAACCCATTCTGTGTCTCGTCTTCCTTTGGAGGGCTGACTTTATCTTCAAGCAGCACCTTGTCCTTGCCTGTGGAAGCCTTGCGACGAAGCGCTTTGGCATAAATGTCGCCGATAATAAGAGCTCGGACACGGATGCAGATCTTTCGACCAATCCAGAGAGCTTGGTTATCGGCGTATGAACGTATTAAATCGACTACAGGAAGACCAATGACATAAAGCCAGATGACATTGATCGGTAGTTGTGTATCGATTTTCTTCTCCAATCCTGCATTATAGTCTTCCACGAATTCGAGAATCACTTTCAGAAGAAGGGTTGGCGCAAACGTAAAGAGGCCGGCGAGGACGGCGAGGGCGCATTGAATCAGCAGGTCCCGCTTGAAGTACTTGAGCAGATGCACCGCAAGAGAACCAGTTCGTTTCATCTGGCGGTAATCAGCAATAACAGCAGCGGCCTTGTCCTTTGGCAACAAGTTCCAGACATGCTCCATTTCCATTGGAGCCTTCCAGCCCTTGTAGACAATCGCATCAACCCAGCCAAACACAGCCAGAGAAAACAGACTGGCCAATGGTTCGCGCGAGGGTTCAATTCCGTCCTCCCATTCCAAGCGTACTGTTTTGTTGCCCTTTCTAGTGGTCATTGCCATTAAGAAAAGGAGTGTAATAAGTGCAAACTCCACAATCGTTGTGATCTTGTCGGTTCGGCTGATATCATCTTGGAGGAAGGCGGATCGAAAAAGAAAGATTGAAAGAACCCAGTTGAAGCCGTAGAGAAAAGCTGTATGGTTCCAGAGATGAGGACCACGCCGTTTCAGAGCACCAAGCACCAGACGCAGAGTCGAGAGGATAAAAACGTAGATCCAAATCAGTAGACCTGTAATGGCTGCAGGACGGCTGTGACGTCCCTTGCTGCCTTCAATTAGCTGAAGAATGTTCACAGCAATGAGGCCAGCGATTGCAAGTTCCTCTACGACCTGCGAAACCAATTGTCCAGTAGGTGTGTCGGCCTGGACTATAGAACCACGAGTAGTGGTCTTGACAAGGGCCAGTCGACCGCCGTTAATCTCAAGCCCATCATCGTCATCAGAATCGTCAACCTGCTCGGGAGGAAGGTCGGTATGGCTGTGGCGTCGGTCCTCGCTTGCAAGCTGTTGATACCTAGCTTTGGACTTGGACCAGGAGCTTAGCAGGCGGGAAATGCCTGTCCAGGCCAAAAGCGCAACGGAAACGAACAGGGCGATCAGAGGGAGTAGAATCTGCAGGTAGCTAGAGTAGGACAAGAAAAACGGTCAGCAAGCTTTTCACAGCGCAGGGGTCAAGACAAGGGAGCACAAACTCTACTCGGAAGCAGACGCTAAAGTCATCAATCTCCCATATAGTTCCATTGCACTGCGCAAACCCCATGGTTTCAGAGATATTGCTCGTGTCGAGCTCACTGGTGCGGGGGACTGCCGCGGAGGCGGAAAGCAAGAATTCGAGATGTCGCGACAATGAATTGACGGGATTGTGCGTCAAAAGAGTTCTCAGATAACGGGTTCGGGCAGGTGATTATCAAGACCCAAGGTGGGTTGCACGCGAGCGTCGGACCGGTAGCGGTGGCTGCTGCGCCGGAGGTCTCGAGGCAGTCAAGGTATTGCAGTATTGTCGGAGCTTTGTCGCAATGATCCCGGTCAAGCGTTACTTGCAAGTACCATTGATAGAGCGTGGCGTGACGTGAGTGATCGTAGAACCCGGATGGTCGACAAGAATTGCAATCTCAAGACTACGATTGCGCTTCTTTGCGATCGCAATTTTGAGTCGTTCAGCGCTCAATCGAACCGTATGATGATGCCGAGGTCGCAGGTTGTCGTGCTGATCATCGATCAGATGCCGTCAGAGTCTGTATGCGAACTCTGAACACTCTCCGACGAATGACGTCTTTGTAGAGAGCGTGAAAGGACCAAAAGAATACTCTGCAAGAAACTAAAAAATGAAAGAATATCGGTACCGATGCCAATAGAAGTATTAGATGAAGAATGCAGTCGAAACAAAAAAGTTTTGACCGTGACTTGCAGGAACTAAGAAAAGAGGAGGAAGAGTCGAAGAGTGCGGCGGCCGTTGAAGAGAAGAACCAAACCGAACCGAACGAACGGGGAAGACTAGGCTAGGCCAGGCCCAAACAACACAAGTCCGAGATACGTTATGGATTCACACGCACGCAAGACAAGACAGGACAAGACTTTACTCTTGTTGGATGCACCGGGGGGAGAGGAAAGTGGAGGGCATGTGTCGGTGTCCAGGGAGTGAGATGCAAGCTATGAAGCTTTAGTGGGGCAGCGATGGCCTAGGCTAGGTACAGTTCAGTAGGTGAGGTAACGATGGCTGCGATGCGATGCGATGCGATCCCTACAGATGATGAATGCAATGTTGCCCTGCTCTGTAACTTTGCGGAAGCCTTGGATTCAGTTGGCGTCGGGTTATTCCTTGACTATTTCTTCGTGCAGAATTAACTTTGGCAAAGCCTCTAGCCTCAACGATCCATCCTTTGGACCCATTTACCCACTACAAATTTCTCACAAGTCGTCATGACAAACATTGGCAATTAATGATGCGAGCAATCTGTATGTTACCCCAGTTCTATGCCTATACTGTATGACGGGGCTGCGGGGACAATCATCGTCTACTCCGTTTCAAGCAGGTGTCAGATTCTCAAATCAACACAATCAATTGAATGTCAATTGAATGCTACAAATGTATGCACATTCAAATACTACTGATTGATAGCAAACAATCCTTGTAAAGGTCACAAGGATATCGACGTTGAGCCAAAACTCAGACATGTCTAGACAAGGTATTCTGACCACACAGACCCAGTTAGCGTTCAAACTTGAAGATACCTAACCGACCGCTACAAAAGTGCCCTTTGCATCAGGTAACCCGCTCCGACAGCCTTATCTAACAGGTATCAGTCGTGACGTTATGAGACATTGCCTCGGAATTAATACCGACAGACTGTAAAATGATGGACTGACTCGAATAAATAAAGGGCGAGGTTAAAGGGTCAAGGAGTGGTAAACATTGTAAGTTGACGCGTAGGAACGTGCAGTATTGAATCAGTAGAATGCCAGTAGTCAAGACTAATTTCCACGCACGTACCTGTATGGTAGACTCGGCGATATTGGATCGTGATCGTTGACAATTGAAGTTTAATTGAAAGAGCCTGATTAATACCCAATTGTTCCATTGAATGCCTTCAAACGTTTGACAATCATCCTCTATCCCTCTGCCTGTATACACCAACGGACTATGCAGTATCCCCATTTAAGGCTCGTGATTATTGTTTCATCTACCCAGATTGTAGCACATAAAGATCATCCATAAAGGCCAGACATGTTCTTCTTTGTTTCATCAATAATTACCTTTGCATCCCAACCATATCATGCAATTCGTGACAAACGTCCCAGTCAATCACCATCACAAACTACCCTAGAAAGAACCATCTCCACAACAACACCACATAAGCTGAAGTCTTGCGTCTCTGGACAGGGATCATGTCTTCAACAGCTTACATGCCACCCTGTGGTCTGAGCGCACCCATCACAGTTGTGTCCGTGGCTCTACAATATGCAGGACATACGGCTCATCCAATCGCTTATAACTTTGTTTCTCACCTATCAATCGTCAAAAACGCCATTGAGGCTCTATATATACCGTGCTATCATCGCAATCTTTGCAACAATCACATTGTCGAGCAACACAACCTTGGTACAACAAGACATGTGTCGTGCATTCAGCCTCAACACATGCAAACCGTCAGGTTGATCACAATCCCCTCTTTCGTGATTCGCTATCCCTCACCGCCGGCTAATACACTCGTTCCTTATCGTTACTCCAGGTCCCTGGGAGAAACGGTTCCCCCACGTTCTAATGCCGTGTAGCGGTTACATTCAACGTCTTTGACCAATCGAAGTCTGATGACCTTGCAGTTGAACTGGGTGTGTTCCTGTTGGACCGTGATGCGAGGGCCTCACTTCTGCAGGACCGGTGAGACCTGCAGTGCTGAGACACTCTGTGAACCAGACTCTGGTGTACTATGTAGATACTGTTTACTCTTTGGTTGTGTAGCTATAGCGGTGCACAGTAGGGTTACAGTCATATCTTATTCATTCCTAGGTAAACTACCCTGCAGACAGTCAAGCGAAATCGGACGTTGCACAATTGGCATTAAATATATGTCATTCATAGATCGTTCTTGAGTTACAACGGAGCTCATCCGCACCACACACGTGGCTTTCAGACATGGCGTCCCTCTCCAACCAACCCGTCATGACAGCTCTTGAGCTATTTTTGTTAATATTGACACGACAGCCTTTAATGACCGTCCCAGTTCCTTCCCAGCCAAGATGACATCACTGCCCCGACTCCTCCGGCTTGTTGAGCAAAAAGAAACAAAAACATGTTGACTATTTTATCTTTTCTTCCTCTTTACTGTTGATACACAAACGCCCGTCTTAGCGGGCCACAACATAAGGCTGAATCAATCGTGCCTTATTTCGATGGCTGTTTAGCCCATAATCATGCCCTTCATACCGGCCATGTCACCCTCCTTGGCGGCGATTTCGAAGTAACCGTAGATGATACTGGGATGTGTTAGTGTTGTGCCTAAGAATCGAAGACGAGAAACTTACGTGACAGCAAGGAGAGTACCGGTACCGGAACCAAGAGCGCCCAAAAGGTCACTGGTGACGGAGAGCGCACCAATGCAGGCACCACCAAAGGCGGCGGCAGTAGGAATGATGCGCTTGAGCTCCTTGTACATGGACTGATCACGGTGACCAGCCATGACGAGACCCTGATCCTTGAGCTGCTTGGCAACATCACGAGGGCTGGAGCCAGAAACCTCGATCCATGTCTTGGAGAAGAGAGCACAAGCACCGAGCATGTAGACGATGTAGGCGCTCATGTGGATAGGGTCGAGAAGAGCCTCCTTCATGTTCTGGGGAGGAGACATGTAGTAGACGAGACCAGAGGTAGCGTGGAGCTGAGAAGAACCATCCTTGGCCTCCCAGACACCGAAGAGACGGACAAGGAGGTTCTCAGAGAAGCGGGAATAGAGCATCTGGCTGATAAGGAAGACGTTGGAAGAAAGAGCGGACTGCAGCATGATGGGCATGTTGGAGGTGTAGAACAGGCGGACGGGGTAAGATCCACGAGCACCACGCTGGCGAGAAGACTTGACAGGGATCTCGACGCGGAAACCCTGGAGGTAGATGACAGCGGCGAAGACGGCAATGGTGGCAAGGAGGTTCATGATGTTGGGGAGGTTCTGGCGGTAGAAAGCCTCCTGGAGAGCTCGCTGCTTGTTGGGCCAGGTCATGAGGAGGTGGAAGAGGGCAATGACGGCACCCTCAAACTCGGGACCACGGCCAGTGTTGATGGTGGTGGGAGAGAAAGCCTTCCACATGATGGACTCGCAGATGTTGGTGGCGATGAACAGAGAGATACCGCTGCCAAGACCGTAGCCCTTCTGGAGGAGCTCGTCGAGGAGGATGACAATCATACCGGCAACAACGAGCTGGAGGATCAGGAGGAAGACAATACCAGCACCAAGGTCGGAGGGAGGTCCATAGAGACCGGAGAAGACGTAGACAGTAGCAGTACCGGCGGAGAGGATGAAGGCCAGGAGCTTCTGGGCGGTCTGGTAGAGCTCGCGGTCGGACTTGAGGTCAAGGTTGACGTCGATCATGTGGGTGCCAGCAAGGAGCTGGAAAACCATGCCAGAGGAGATGATGGGGGTGATACCCAATTCCATCAGTGTACCACGGTTACTCGCGATGACCATTCGCAGCCAGTATAGAGGATCCGAGTTGTCGGAGGAGACGATACCGTAGAGAGGCATCTGGCTCATGACCAGGAAGATGAGGAGGGTGAGGGCCGTCCACATGAGCTTCTGGTTGAAGGGGATCTTGGTCTCCGGCTGCTGAACCTCTGGGAGGAACGGCACGAACGGCTTGACCAGATCGAGGAATCGTACTATCGAGCGCAGCCACTGTTAGCTTCTTGTCTGATGATCGCGATACCAATTGGCAATTGCGCGCCATTTCGTGATGTCGCGCGAGCTCAAATGTTTTGAGCTTTCAGCTCCAGACAAGGAGAACAACTTACGGGAACTCATGGTGGGCAACGATACTAAAGGGACAGGACAAGAATTGGACTATTTCATCCAATGAGGGGAAGAAAGAAGGAAAGAAAAGGAAGATGCTGAGCTTGAAGAGCCCAGGCGATTTGAAGGGTCGATGGGAGAATAATTAAAGGAGAGCTGGGGGGGCGGAGGTTGGCGATCTGGCTTCAATGAGCCCAAATTGTAGATGTGTCCAATATTGGGAGTGGAGAGGCACGTGACCTCCAGGGGGGACTCGAGATGGGAGCTCCAGCTAAGGTTCCATTCCCTGAGCTTCTCCAGGTAAAATGTGCCTACAGTTAGCCTATAGGGAGCTCGCTAGCTGTGAACAAAGGGGTTTCAGCCTCTGAGACCAATTGAAGCTAAGCTTTGAACCCCGCCGTAATTTTTCCGTCAAATGACTCCGCTTTGCCTGTTCTGGAACATTTGAGGATTTGACTCAATATTGTTCATTCACGGGAAAACCGACGAGAGCAAGTGTCGGTATCAATATTTATGGCTTTATTATATTAGATGCTTCGTCGCCTGGGTCCTCTTCTCAGGCGAAATGTTACCACAATGTCTAGAAAACCTCCAGCAGAACCCCTGGTGGTTGTGCTAGGATCAACAGGCACGGGCAAGTCAGATGTAAGTGCGGCTTCACCCATGATAGAATGGCTCTGACGGATATAGTTGGCAGTTGAACTTGCAACTCGGTTGAATGGTGAAATTATCAATGCCGATGCCATGCAGCTGTATAATGGACTGCCAATCATCACCAATAAAATCACCGCTGAAGAACAGCGTGGTATTCCTCATCATCTTCTTGGACATATTTCTTTGGATGAGCAACCATGGGATGTTGATGATTTCAAGAGGGAAGCCTCTCGGACAATACGAGAGATTCGTGACCGAGGACGATTGCCCATCCTCGTCGGTGGCTCACAGTATTATGTCGACCCTATACTCTTCAAAGAGGTTATTCTGGATGACATAGACCTGGATATGTCCAAGTCGTTCCCAATTCTCCAAGAGTCAGGCGAAGTTATGCTCCATGAGCTACGAAAGGTTGACCCTGTCATGGCCGATCGATGGCACCCCAAGGATCGTCGCAAGATCCAGCGATCCCTGGAGATTTACCTTCGGAGCGGCAAAAGAGCATCCGAATACTATGCCGAGCAACAAGCACGAAAAGAAGCAGCACAGCAAGACGCCAACAAGGAGCCCTGGGAGAATCTGCTATTCTGGGTCTACTCGGAACGAGATGTCCTGCGAGATCGTCTCGATAAGCGAGTCGATAAGATGCAGACGAGTGGACTCATGGATGAAGTCCGAGAACTTTACGAATTCAAGCATAAAAAGGAAGAAGAAGGCCAACGACTCGACATGACAAAGGGGATATGGCAGTCAATTGGATATAAGCAATTCGAGCCATACTTGTCTGCTGTTGACGAGGGACGAGAGGCTGCAGAGATTGAGAAATTGAAGAGCGCAGGACTTGAAGAGATGAAGTCGGCAACGAGACGATATGCTGTCTATCAGACTCGCTGGATCAGACTGAAGCAGATTCCGCGGATACGCGAGATTGGCCCAGAAGCTATGAACAACATGTATCTTCTGGATAGTACGGATGTCTCTGCATATGGTCAGAACGTCGTTGAGCCGGCTGTAGCGCTGACAGAGCAGTTCCTCAAAGGAGAAGAACGTCCATTACCGACTGAGATCTCGTCAATTGCTAATGAGGTCCTCACACAAGTTGGCAACCCACCACCAAAAGCAATCCCATGCAAACGTACATGCGAAGTCTGCCACACGGTATTAATGACAGAGGAAGCATGGAAACAGCACTTGAAGAGTTCAACTCATCGACGGGTTATCCGCAAGAAAGCTAGAACGTCTTTGGTACCAGTGGAAAAAGTGCCCGAGGACAAAGACGAAGGAGAGTCTGGGCCAGAGCTGGGGTCCATGTTTTCAGAGTGATCAATACAAACAGTCAAACCTGCCATGCCGCAACCCGAGTCCGTTCCATGGAGCTGGTATACAATCACGTCACTTACGACTATGATATGAGAATTATAGTGACGAGTAAAGCTGGCTGTCAAGGTCATCGCTCTTGAAACAAGATACCGACACCAGATGCCGTCATCGGATCGACTCGGATGCTGGCCGTTGACCCGTCTAAACGAATAACAGAGGTATTCTGTGCTTCGACAGGCTATTTGACATGCCGTGTGAACCATCAGGTCTGCCTTACAAATCGAGTGACCGTGAAGTTCTGACCGGACTCCGAAGACGTCAAGTGGACAACTGCCGTTGAACTGTTTCATAGGGCTTACCGTGATTATGATGAGTTGGCATTGAATTCACTATACGCAGACGATCTATGCGACGTCCTTGCTTAATCAAGGATCATGCCAGTTTGCATAATGGTCAGCTGGCCTAGGATGAAAGGACGATAATAACCCGCCCACCCGAACCAGGCACAAGACCTCTAATGCGGCAGATCATGATAGAAGTCAGTTTTGATGAATTACCACTCTTCAGAGCCTGATAGGTTCACCGGACACTCGGTGATATTACGTCCGTGGGGGCATATCATCAGAACGCGAAACATAGGCAAGGATACGAAAACCATATGGGACCGGGCTGTTGCCACAACCCGACGAGTGAGCAACACAGAGAATCACGGAAAGACTGCGGAGAAGAGCTTATAGGTAGTGAACTGAGCGTTACTGAGCGTTTGGGTTTGAGAGGCTAGGTGGTCTACCTACCTAGTTTAAGTGGCTTAACCTTCCGGAGCATCCGAAGTTTAGGTACGAAAATATCTGATCAAGAGTTTTAGACGGTTGTGTACAGTATTAAAGGTCTGACGTAGGGTGCCAAACTACAGACCCTTTGGGATAGTATCGGATCAAGGTTTTAAGTATTTAATGTCCGTCAGTCTGCATACGGTAACTGTTCAGATTGAGTCATCGGGCAGGGCTGGTGCTTTGGTCCGTTGCGGCGGACTTGGATGACAAAAGTCCGCCGCTAAGTTATCCAGCGATGGCTCGAGTTCGGGTCTAGGGGGTCCTCATTGGTCAGTTTCAGCTAGAAGATTCGATTTTAGCATATCGACCATGTGAAACTCAAAGGAATGCATCAGCGATTTTCCTGTCAGGCAGCTTTATATCAACCTTGCCCTTTGGATCTCTGCGCCAGGTTTACCGTCTATTTACGGTATGGAGAATTATTAAGGCAACAAAGTATCTGCCTGAACCAATACAGCCCTAAACAAAGGGGTATTTTATTTATATTTATTTTCTTATATCTACTCCGTACGTCCCTGAAACCTACGTCAACTGATGTGATTGAATAAACGGAATACGCGGATTCCGGTATGCGCGTTTAATTATTCAGTCCTTTCATACCACCTTTTATGCAGAGGCAGCACAATCTTCTACAACCACCGAACAATCACAGACGAAAAAACCATAGGCCAGCCCCTGGGCTACCTCCCAGAAGAGTCAAGACAAGCAAAGCACCACCTCAGCCAGCCAAACCGGCTCTACATTATACCGGTAGACTCGGCATCTTACGGTATCGTCAGCTGCCCTGCTTATCGTTTTTCTACACCAGGAGTTCTAGAGTGTCTGATCGATCATATCCATTTCACATTCGTCACTTTTTCTTCTTTTCCTCCTCTTTCAGTCCTGACAGAGCCTTTGTTCCGTTTGCGTTTCTGTTCTGCTGCCCCTCCCCCTCACTCACCTGACCCCAGTGAAACGGACGGAAGCGGGCTTCTGAAGAACCCCAGCTACCCGCCCGCCTGAGCTGTACGTACTGTACTGTGCTGTACGGTACAGTCTTGAGGTGGAGCTCACGCTGGCGTCATAGGATATTTTACTCAACCTTCAACTCTCAACGACGAGACGAGACTCTATGACTGTTATGTGAGGTTCTGCTCAATTCTGCGGTCATGTCAAACAATATCACTCACGGGCCGGGCTCTGTATCGCACAAGAACCCTCGTGTCTTGGCCTGCGTCTTGTGTCAGCATCGCAAGATCAAATGCGATCGTAACACGCCCTGTTCAAATTGTATCAAGGTGAGCATCTACAGCCACAATCTCTTATCAGCTTTAGTCATTAATGCGGCTATAGGCAAATGTCACTTGTACTCCAAGCACTCCCGCTCCCGCAAGGAAGCGCCGGAGACCCAATCAGGACCTTCAGGAAAGACTTGCACGATGTGAGCAGCTCCTAAAGCAATACGCCGATGGTTCTGTGCCGTCTCCTTCTGCTGTTGGTCATTCGCCTGCTACAAATGGGACCGCAGATACGTATCCTGCTACACCCACCAACATCGATGGCCAGTCCAAGTGGAAACCGACTGGCAAGATGGTCAAGGAAGAAGGCGGGGTGCGATTCATGGACAGCTATCTCTGGGCGAATATCCACGATGAGGTGAGTCTACTGACTTGACCTGCTAACATGCACTAATGCCATTCAAGCTCCAAGCGATGAGAGAAATTGTCGACACCGATGATCCAGAAGAAGCCAGTGTCATGGGCTCTGAAGATTTGAGCCCTGATTATAATATCGATCTTCTGATACCAGCCGATACAGCTACCAGATCATGCGAGGAACTCCAGCCCGAGCCTGTTCACATCTTTAGACTCTGGCAGTTATTTGTCGATCGCGTCAATCCTCTGACAAAGATCATCCACGTGCCATCAGTGCAACCATTCGCCTTGGAGATGGCTACCGATATCAACAAGATCCCACTCAACTACCAGGCTCTCTTGTTCGCCATATTCACCATGGCCACAGTATCCCTTACCGAGGCTGAATGTCTTCAGATGCTGGGAACATCTCGGGATGAAGCTCTCCGACGGTACACCATTGGAACCAAAGTGGCACTCACAAAGTTTAACTTTCTCAAAAACTACGACATGGTGGCTCTGCAGGCATTGCTGCTATACTTGGTAAGACAACAATGCCCCTGTGTAACTATTGCTGACGATTCCAGTTATC